GAAAATGAGAGAGAAACCCTAAGTTAAAAAAGAAAAGAAAAAACGTTTGAGTTTCTTTTTTTTTCCAACTTCTCAAATTCATTTGCCACATCTGAGAACACGTGGTGATGTAGGGTGGAAGATAGTAGACGACGTCTCCCATTTAAAAGAAATAATGGGTGAGTTGATATGTGCACGTCACGAGGAAAATGTGAGATACGTTATCATGATGTCATGACGTCATAAGGAAGGGAAAATAGTAGCGTCAACTAAGCAAGAAATGAAAACTAGTAAGTTTGATTGAAGGTAGACGATATTTCAGAGATGCCATTACCTCATATTTGTCGAATTCAAAGATGGCATCTTTGAGGGACATTTTGTTACCTTAAAATTTCTTTAAGGCATTTATTGCATTGTTAGTAGGACAACCTTTGTGAGCTGAAAGGAAAGTGTCTTCCAGGAGTAGGGACTTTAAGAAGATTAGAGTTAAGAAAATGATAGCTGAAAAGTTCTTATAAAGAAATAAAGGGAGATCGACGAACAAAAGAGAAAGTAGTCGACATAGACAATAACAAATCAGGCGAATTTAGTTCCGTCGACAAGAATGGAATCTAAGACTTAGAGAATTTGGGTTATTTGTCTACAACAATGGTTGATGTCGAAGCAAATTTATAGTCGGGATAAATTTTGAAATTTGAATATTACAACGGTTGCAAGAAGTTTCTTGATCAAGGCGCCAACTACGTGGCTAAATCTGAAGAAACACTTTTATTAAGCCACATACATGTCAGATTAGTATTACATTGAAGTGCATGTTCAATTATTATGTAACTACTATAAATAAGAGGGTCTAATATAGGATTTAGTGTGTTCATTTTGTACTAAAATTACTTGTAAAACTTTATATTTCCAAGCGTAAAGAAGCAAGAGTTCAAGAGTGTTAATGTACGTAAATCACCACATTTATTTCAATGCAGACTCCTTTCTTTTCAATGATGCCCTTTAAATCATTTGCTTGCATCTTATTTACTTTTGAACAATCTTTTTATTTTGTCATTTATGTTATTGAATCTCGTTCCATTACGATACTGGAATTCACGGAGAGTTCACTCAATATTTACTTCATTTAGGACAAGTCCTAGTCTTCTGTCGGTTTGTGGAAAACTTTTACTTGTTCCCTTATTTAGAGAAAATTTATTTCTCGCAAAGTAAGGCGTTGCATCGACAGAACAAACAGCATTTCATTCTATTAGCACATGTATTAGTATTAACTAGTCGATCCTGCGAGTAATCATTAATTTTAGACTTTAGGAAGACTAGCAGTTGTTTAGTATTTTCCACAGTAAACAAAATGATATTCTTATAATTGAATTCTCTTATTAATTTGTGCATGAACTTATCAACAAACCTCGTGACAAATTTGCCTTCGAGAAGCTAGGAAAACCATCATATTTTTTGGGCATTGAAGCCAATTATCAGTCCAATGGATCTATGTTACTTACTCTATCCAAATACATAAAAGATTTACCGTCAAGAGCACACGTGTGTGCTGCCAATGGTTTCTTTATCCCTATGCCAAGTTGATGCAAGCTAAGTAAGCATGGTACTAATGTGTTTAGTGATACTCAATTATACAGATCAATTATAGGGGCCTTCAGCATGTAATTATAGTGATCCTCAATTCTTAAAAATATATATACAATATCGAGATATTTAAAAATTATAATGACACCTCAAGTATCAATATGACTGATTACTCGGAATGAAATACTAGATTGCAAACTTTTATTACTTGTTGTGTTTTGTATTATTCTAATCATTGCATAGAATTGTAGGCTGGTATAAATTATGTGCTTCAAAACTTCAACAAGCAGAAAACTTAGGAATAGTAGTTGAAGGAAACTTAAATCAGTAAGAGGGTAGTGTCCATCTGATATACTTTACAGAGGTACACATTAGTGCTGGTACAGCTGCAAGTGCAAGCTAATTGGAAGAAATTTGAAACAAGGTTGTGCTAGAAAACAATGGAGGTTGATGCAAATTGTGATTTTCAGAATGTTAAAAGATTATGTTGGTAGGATTTCTCTTGCATGAAAAAATTCAAATTGAGTAAATGTTGATCATAATGACTTCAACCTATAGCCGTGACAGAAGAATAACAAGACAATTTAAATAGAAAAGTCCCACTTTTTTTGGGGCAGTGGTCTAAGTGAAATTTCTTTAGATCTTTGTGCTGTTATATGTTCATTTAGCACCGAATGCAATGAATTGAGCTACATAATCAACTTGTGAAACAGAAATGAGGATAATCTGTAAAACTTAAAAACTGATGCATAGTAAATACATAAGATTAGAACACAAAAATTGTCTGATTGTTTGAATGGCCACAAAAATTCCCATCTCAACAACCAGCTATTTAATCTGAAAGATACAAAACTTTCAAAGAAATAGAAGAAAGTTTAATCATTATTTCTGCCCACATTTCTGATTTGTGATACGCCCTAAAATGCACTTATTATACGAGTGTGACATGTTGGTACAAACTGTCAGGTTCAGTTATCAAAGCAACCAACTCCAACTAACTAGATTAACATACTCTAATAAATGCTACATACCTAGGTCCTCTTCGACATGTGCGGAGACCAGTCAAATAAGCAATGCCTCCCAATCAAGTGTTTCACCGGCAAACATGGGAATAATATCTCCGAAAGGAAATGACAGACACTCGGGTACTTTCCAAGGTGATTTCCTCAGTTTAATCTTTGACTTGTTTCTGGGGATGCCATAGAAGTCAGGTCCATTAAAACTTGTAAAAGCCTCCAGCTTGTTCAGTGCACCAGCCTAAACGGGCAACAATTTTATAAAACATTAAGATCAAACTCCATAACTTTGAGAGCAAATTATGAGTTTTCCCATCAAGAAACATACAATTTATACTCAGATAAGAAGATTATCATATCTTAAAACCCGCATGAGAGATGCATGAGAATAATTACCGAAACACAATTCTACAATTTGACATCACCACTATGTTTAACATAAGAGATACTGGCTTATTCTGCAAACCTTTTGAAAATAATATTTTCATTTCTATAACAAAAGAATAATTCACATTAAACTCAGAAAATCAAACATATCGCGATTAAATGAAATAAATTTGTCTTTTGAAATCTACCCATATGTACATTTGCAACATTGACATATTTAATTCATTATAAACTTATAATAAAAGTGTTACCTCTTCAAAAACCTTAGCATATAGTGATAGAGCAACCGGGGAGTTGTAAATGCCAGCACATCCACAAGCACATTCCTTATTACGCCTATCATGTGGAGCACTATCAGTTCCGAGGAAAAATCGCTTGCTTCCACTAGTGATAGCTGAAACAATAGCCTGTCCTAAAAAATAGACAAAAAGAAAACTTTGATCTAACATCTAAAAGTTGTTGAAACTCTGGAAACTAAGGGAAAAGAAACAGAGTAACATACTGTGGATCTCTCTTTTAAGCACGGGAAGACAATAATTGTGAGGTTGTAAGCCACCTTGAAACAAAGCATTTCGATTGAGAAGAATATGCTGAGGTGTAACAGTTGCGGCTACATAACCTTGCAAAAATAGAAAATTATTAGAAAGCTTTTACAACTAAACTAAGTACATACAGAAAATCTCTCCCAACCCCAAGTAATTTACTACAATACCTTCTTTGCAAGACTCTACAAACTTAACGGCATCCATGGTAGTAATATGCTCCATCACAACCTTCAATTGCGGAAGCCTTTGAATTAAAGGCTCTAAAATTGTTTCAATAAAGACCTTTTCCCGATCAAAAACATCAACTTCTGGATTTGTGACCTCTCCATGAACCTGTCATGTAAACTGATTCACAGATAAGAAAGTACAACGAAAACTTTTGAGTACTTTATAAAAACATAAAAGACATGCAGATAAAGAGAAAAACATTTCACTTCGCCACACTTTGCTTGCCATATGAACCACTCAGCTCATTTTCGAGTTTGAAGTGTTTGTATATGATTTCATTATGGAAAAAAAAATCTGAATTTCGTATCCAAAAAGATATATTCTATTACAAAGGAGCAGTATGGTCAATTGCGGATTGTTAAAATCTGTAGCACCTCTATAGCTACTATTTGACAACATTTTATAAAGTACACTGAACATACAGAGTAAACAAATTACCAATAATGGTAAACCTTGCTCAACCATTTCCTCAAGAACAGAATAACAATTTCCAAAAAGATCTGTAACACCATCTTGAGAGTTTGTTGTAGCACCAGCAGGATATAGCTTTATACCATAAACATATCCACTTTTTTCTGTCAATACAAGTAGCACCAGCATCAAATATTAACAAGTAATTATAATAAAACAGCATACACACACAAGAAATAATCTTGATAATAGACAGAAAAATTAAATTAACAATTCAGGGCAAAAGTTGTTAAACTTGTGAGGCAGTGATAAGACTCACTTGCGATTTGAATCTCATGAGGAGTTGTAGTATCAGTGAGGTAAAGTGTCATGAGAGGATTGAAATTGGAAGTTTTAGGTATTGCTTTCAAAATTGATTCTCGATAAGATATAGCGGAAGATGTGGTGGTGATAGGTGGTTTCAAATTGGGCATGACTATAGCTCTTCCAAAATGTTTAGCACTGTGAGGGGCTACAGCTTCAAGAAGAGCACCGTCACGAAGATGGAGATGGAAATCATCAGGTTGTGTAATAGTTAGCTCCATCTTTCTGTCTCCGCTGCCGTCGGCCGTAATCTTTGTGTCGTTCGATTATAGATTAAACCTTCGTTCCTGGTGTTGCAAGATCATTAGTTTAGCGAGCTTTGTGGTAAGGGCATTGAAAAAGAATCTACATGCACCCTAAAGATGGTTCTTACACCCCATATATTTTGATAATACCAAAATATACCCTCTCTTATTTTTTACACCCCACATGACAATTCAATATTATAGTCAGAAAATACATCAAAGTGCATCAAAAACAACAATCCATGAGGGAAGAGTTTCAGATATGTGTTATAGGATTGGAGATGGTAACAAGCTATTCACAACTTATCAGTCTTATTCCAATCAACAAATTAAATGCTTACATCCCAGAACGATCTCCTCCGCGATGTCACACAACCACTACGACATCGAATCTGCCGCATACATCTCGTTGTCACAAAGGCGCAAGCATCACCACCACTCAAACATGGCCGGAACACGATTTCCCTGGACAACCGTTTCCTCCTCCAACTACCAGAAACCGCTAGACACAACCGCACATCCATCATCAACCTCCTCACCGCGATGACACACTACTCTCTCCGCCCATATTTGCGACGGCCACTAATCCGCGCTGCTCCATACAGACCTCTTAATGCTCCTCACTCGTAAATTTACTTCAGCCTCACTCGCGAGTAAATCTGAAACGACCTATCTTTGCACCCTTAATCCACAAAATGTTTCAACTTCACTCACGCATAGACAACATCAACAATATTGATTCAGAGAAGCACCAACACACGTAGAAAAGTAGACGAAGAACAGATAATTAGGCGAGTAAACAAAGAGAGAGAAGAGGTTTACCTAGAGATTTTAGAGCTATGCTTCCATGGCTGTTGCGAATAGAGGTGAAAGAGAGAAGAGGATTGTTCTGAATCCTAAAGAGGGGCCGCTGGGATTTGATTAGGGTTTTCTAATAAACCCGATTTTGATGGCATCGGTTCCGAGTCCATTGAACCGTTTCAGCCCAGTTGTTTTTTTAATTATTTTTACTCTTGCATTTTTTTCTTCCAGTTGGGCCTTAAAAAAACAACTGCTCTTGCATTTTTTTCTTCCAGTTGGGCCTTAAAAAAACAACTGCTCTTGCATTTTTTTCTTCCAGTTGGGCCTTAAAAAAACAACTGGGCTGAAACGGTTCAATGGACTCGGAACCGATGCCATCAAAAAAATCAACTGTAATCACCAAGCTGCCACACATCAAGGAAATCAAAAAAGATTTTAAGACAGATAAACTTCAAGAAAATCAAAAAATATTTCAAGATAGATAAACAAAAGAACTTAGTTCAGTCATTCCATCAAAAAATTGGCATGCAAGTACGAAACAATAAATACGTTAGAAAATTTGGCACTGATTGGTAAACCAGAATTGAACAACAATCACACAGCCATAATCAAAGAAGAGAGAAGAAAGACGATTGTAAGCGATATGATATTTTACTTAGCGGTGGTGATTTTTGCGGTAGCAGCTTTTGAGAATCGAGTTAGAGGAAGAAGAAACCAAACCACAATCGCTTTTTCCACCGAGATAGAGGAAGGAAGAGCCCGGGCAGCTGCCCGTCCTTGCCGGGTGCTGGCTTCGCCATTGATTGTAAAGCCCTCAACAAAAAAAGAGACCAAAGAGGACAAAATAAAATACCTTTCTCGTAGTAACACTGAAGAATAACCACCGTAGAATGAAACCTTTAAGAAATCAGAATTGAAGGATGGTTCAAAACAAAATTTCCTCGAACAACAATCTGGAGAGAATGTGTAGAGGTTAAGATGGAGGATCCGATTTTGATAAGGGTTGATAGAGAAAATACAGATAAGAAGAATAAATGAAAGAAGGAGAGATAAACACGGTGGTCCGAAGAATTTACCGTTTAGAACTGCGGCGGCCGGAGGTTGAAGGTGGCGAAAGTTCGGTGGTGGCTAGGGTTTTACGCTGAAGGAAGATGGGAGAGGGAAGGTAAAGAATATATTAATACGATTGTATTTGTTATAAAAGTCTAATATAAATATATCTAATATAAATATATAAACTTCAAACTAGACGTTAATAACAACACTGCTAACTTTTTAATTAAAATTTTTAATTAGAACACTGTTAACTTTTTAATTAAAATTTTTAATTACATTAACTATAACGATAAATTAGTTTTTTTTTATTACTAAATTCTTTATATTATTTTAGTATTAAATGCTGCTTATTTGGCATATTCATATTTATTTTTTTTATAACTTATAAATATTTTTTTTTATAAAACATAATTACATTAGATAACGGTTGGAGTGCTTCTTCATTTATATTATGTATCTAACTTTAATCGCATTTTGAATATTAACTGTATCACAATTTGATATCGAACCGTTGAGTTCTCAACACAACTTTCAAGAATTCATTTTCATTAAGTGCATCGTTTATGATTCACTTTTGTTTCCCTTTATAAAATCTTCAAGGATGCAAAACCCTAACACGACTTCTCATCTTCATCGTCACATCCGTAAAGTCCATTCTCATTCCATCCATTCTTCAAATTTTAAAAGTTAACGGTTTCAATTGGTTGAAATCATTCAAGATTTCAGTCTTCTTTAATCACAGTTTAATCATCTTTATTTTTCATTTTTCAGGTTAACAGTCAATTCACGGTTTAATCATCTTTGTTACTTTCTCAAATCTACACACCGAACAGGGTCTCAAATCTCTCCATGATTTCCTCTTCGAAAAAACCTATATCTCTAGGTAAACTCAAACCCTTTCAAATTTGATCCCAATTTATTTGTTTCAAATTTTTGTGAGAATTTGATTATTGAAATTTTGTTTTTTTGTTTGTTTTTTTGACTATTTAGGCAACAACTGACAAAGGATGATATTAAGGTTTATGGAGCTGTTACTGAGAAGTCAAGTTGGTCTTTTCCCAATGTTGTTAATTGGTATGATGTTGTTCCTTCAAGCCTTGTTGCTAGGTATATTTTTTTCGTTCAGGTTTTGTTGATTAGTTATTAGTTTTGGTTTTTGTGATTGGAATTTGAGTTTGATTTTTATTTGTTTGGTTTTTGTTTGGTGATTGAGTTTACTTTTTGAAATTTGATTTTGTGTGGAGAGTTTCCCAGAGAAAGTTCAAGGTGTGAAATTTACAGGAAGTGGTGCTGCTCCAATTGTAGAAACACCTGCCAAAGTAGTATGTAGCTCTCTGAATTTTGGTTTTTGTGTGTTACTTTATGTGTATAGTTTTGTTATGGGTTTCAGAGTTGCATGGTATATGCAATTTGATTTTTGTTTCTTTTATGTGTTTTAGCGTAACCTTTCTCACCACTTTGATTGGGTTGCCCATTCCTTCAGGATCATCATTGTTTATGGGACTGAGAGCTTTGTCATTAAAAACTTGAGTTTTAGCCACATAATATTGTTTTGTGTTGGAAGTAATTTCCCCTATGTGTTGGAAGTAAGTTTAAACTGCAGTACTAACAAGGTTTATTGTTAGTGATAACATTTGTATTATTAGTGTGTTGAAAAGAGTTCACTGTTTTATGTTTTTGTTGTGACTTGCTGCAAGTATTATTTCAATAAGATTACTAAGCATCCAACATGAGAAAAATACGAGAAGAACTCAAGGTTTATTGTTAGTGATAGCATTTGAAATTATGTGTTCGACTATTTGTTAACTATTTGTAATATTTGCATTCAATTGACAAGAACATGAAGTTAGTAGCCAGGGAATAGACTTAGATACGAGTCATACATTTAATGATGATGCCTCCTCTACTACAATAAAATACTAGCTAATGCAGCTCTAACTCTAACTCCAACTCTTTGACATCTAACGGTCTTGCTTCTGCCTCATCTTTCAATTGTAGCCATTAATCATCAACGGTTGGTTTCTATATTGGAAACATGGCCCATTTTTGAAGGCAACACATCACAACACCACTTCAAAACAAACTTTCAAAAACATTGAAACATCTTTTCAAAAAGACAAACACCTTTGTAAAACATTCAAACAAGAATTGTTACAAAGGTTGCCTAGACAAGGCATCTTTTTCAAAACATTTTCAAAACCACACACACAAAGCACCATTTCAAACAATTGAAAAGCAAAGGCAAGTGATCTAAAATAAGTAACTAAGAGCCCATGGAAAACCATGGATGAAAAGGGTGCTAGCACCCTCCCTTTTCATAATCTACCCCCCGAACCCACGAAAACATATCAAAGGTCTTTCCTGTGCTTTTTGACCTTTCCTTAGGATAAAATAAAAAGTCGGTGGCGACTCTTGCTAAACCGAACATTTGCGAACACAAACACAAAACCCAAGTCTGTTCTCCCACCGTATCACAGAACTGGCGACTCTGCTGGGGATCATCTAAAAGTGGGGTTACCTTAGGGTTTTAGATCACCTTTACATGCTTGCTTTGATTGCTTTACTTTTTGGGTTCCTTGTTTGGGTTTGCTGTAAATCCTACACCCGGATTTGGGGGCACCTTTTTAGGTAAATAGCAATAAGCTGTGAGGGAACTGTGTGGGGTATACCGACATGGTTGAAGCAGTAGCTATGTTAGTGTGACATATTTGTGAGTACCGGTAGCCCTTGAGTAGTCAAGGAGAATACGGGGCCGCTGAGTGATGTCATGATGCACTAACAAACTCTTAGAACCTTACTTGACCATCTTGGCCTTTTTAGGGGTAGTGAGATGACCGACTTTGGTGCAGTCCGAAGTTGGTAGATACTCGATACTACACTCATTGAGGATTGTTTTCTTGGAATATTTTGGTCGTCAGTTAAGTGGCTAAACCAAAACAATGAACATAGAAAACAATCCAATGATATTGAGCTCCTTAGAACCCGGTTTCTATTTTAGGACAGGATGCAAGCCTAAACCTAAGGACTTGTTTGCTCTGTGTGAATATGATTGCCTGTATATATATACTTGCTTACTTTTGCATACATGTACATAACATCATAACATCATACCATAGCATTTTCAATAACCATTTCAAGGATCTCGAGGGTCTTTTGATGCAGGGTCACGTTGAACCAGACGTCTACCAAAGGGCAAGAGGATTCTCCTCTAAACAAACGCCGTCAAAGATCAAGTACAACAACTTGAATCAGGGGCTATGACCCACTTGACATGGTGAGCTTGATTCTCGTGGAAAGACATCTACCGATACAAAGTTCTCCAATCAAAGATGTTGATCAAAATTCGACTTCTAACATTTTGTGTTTACCCCGAGAGATCCTTGAAAACATGCATATGCATATCATGCATTGCATCATAACAGGTTTTCTTTTTCAGTTTTCCTTATTCTCCTACTGTTTATTTCAGTAGAGATGGCTCTAGAGAGGACTGTCAAAGATATCCAGGATCAAAATGCTCAACTTCAAGAAATGTTCTTGAACCTGTCCCAGGGGCAAGAAGAAGTGAAAGCTCTCCTCACAAGGGGCATAGTCTTGGGGAATTCAGGCAGTGTTAGGAATGATCAGTTGGAGGAACTACAGTTTGAGCTGACCGCAATGAGGATCCAGATGATGGGACAACTGGTGGGCCAAATGGCTCTCATCCAGGACTTGGCTCAAAGACAAGAGGAGCTCAGGGTTCTCGTCAACAAACTGCTTCGGGACAACCAAGTGGGGCAAACATCTAAGGTTGAAGATCAAGTCATCATTCAACCCCCTTTGAGACAATAAGACAAGGGAAAGGCTCCCCAGCTTGCTTCAGGGTCACAAGCCCAGCAACAACCGCGCCAGCGTCAACGGGGTAATCGGCGTAAGCAAAATACGTCTGGAAGACAGTTCACTGAGACTGACATACCATCATCTCTAATACTGGAACGCTTGTTGGAGGTCAATCTGACTTCTTTAAAGGATCCTATTCGGAAGCCCAATACCTCAGCTTCTAGCTATCACCCTGACGCATTTTGTGTATACCACTCCTATAGTCCTGGACATGACACCGACGACTGTTGGGTTTTGAAAAACAAGATCCAGGACTTGATTGACAATGGAGTGCTGAAATTCATGCCGGATGGCGAGATGAAAATCTTTCGTTAAGGGTTTCTCCACCTGAAATGATAAAGCTCGAACTGAGAGACTTTTGTTCCATTTGAATTTTCAAGTTGTAATTTCTTTTGTTATTCAAACAATTATCTGTTGATGTCAAACTCTGTTTCATTAATGCATTGCATATGTTTGTCTTGAATTCATCCATTCGTTTTCACTATTCTTATGCTTTCTTTATGATATTTAACTCTTGATAAAAAGCTACAAGCCTTTAGTGGGAGGATGACGAAACAATACCATAATCTCATACATTATGCTTTTGAACAGACCTTGCTGACGATGTACAGGCATTTCTTTCAAATCCTAAACACTGGAGTTATAAGGAAGATAATCCCTAGTCAACCCCTTCGAGCCAAAGAAGTAGGAGTTTTCTGTTCTAAACAAATTGAAACCTTTGATTTAAACCTAGGGCAGTGTAGTCTCTCAGTTAATTTAAAAAAAAAAAGATGCACATTGAAGTCGCAAACTCTCAGTTCGTAATACAACGAATGACATCAAAAACATTCCTTTGGAACCAAAAGACAGTGATGGTTCTTTATCTCATAGGCAGTCAATCTCTCAAAAGAGAAAAGCCCACTGAGCCAAAACCTATAAAGGAGGCTTAAGAAAGCTGGGGCATCCCGCTGACTGTGATCTCGAAAACAGGAACAGTCAGGCAAAAGTTAGGGATAACAAATCAAAAGAAAGAGGTCATTATAAATCCTCAATAAACATGAAAAATGTTGCAAAGATGATGACTGCCTTCCATAAAATTCAACTGGTGTGAGCCATCACCAAAAAGTTGTTCCAAATTCGAATAGAGTTTGACGCACAATTAACTGAGTTTAGGATTGAAGAACATCACGAAGAGCGGGTGG